TCAGTTAAACAAAACGTTATTGAATTGTTCGATTTCCAAACTCTCAATAATTTTTGAAGGAATAAATAAAAAACAATATTCTGAAATGTAACTTGTGAGGTTTATTAATGACAATTAAACAAAATCAACCAACTTAAAACTAATGTGGCCAGTATAAAAGGTATTACATTGATTTATATAAACAGTTTTTTTTTCCTTTTGGCAACCGAGTCTCCAACTCTCCACTCTCAATATTTGTAGCAGTTCTTAGACATCCTTTACCAATTAGGTACTCGCCAACTAATATGTACAATTCAATACGTTTTTCGAACTATCAAAAACGACAGTTTTCTATGAATTTTGTGCGAGATTGTGTATTGTGACGTCACGTTTTTTAAGCATCAAACAGCATTACTTAAAAATTTGCTGGCAAAATACTAAAATTAGGATGGTCATAAAATCAATTAATAAAAGTGTGATTATTTTTTAATACCGGATTTAGGAAAGTACCCAATACCTAATGACTATAAATAAAGCCTGAAAAAGTTATAATACGTACCTACTTTATAAAAAACCTTCGCATGAAACGGGCCTGATTTATTACGGCGAACATATTTTATGCTTCAGCAGAACCAAAATATCTAGGTATATATAATTAAGAAAAGAAACTAACTTTAGGTCAGAGGATACGACCATGCCTAATCATATGAAATAAAAAATAATATCCTATAACCAATAAAAATTTTATTTACTTAGTGTATTTAAAAGGGCACATCGAGATTTTTCGCTCAAATTGTCCTGTCCGACTCGGTCAGCGGATCAAACTAGCTGACTGTCGTAAGAAAATCTTATGTGTGATACTGCTAAAGGGTGAAGTTATCAGGATATGTAACAATAATTATTATCATTATCAGCCTATAAAGGCCCAATGCTAAGCAAATCTTCTTCTCACACTGAGAAGGTTTGAGCATTAATCACCACCTATCATCATAAACCCATGCGGGTTGGCGATTACAACTTATCAGGTTTCCTCACGATGTTTTCTTTCAACAATGTTTTGTTACAATAAGGCAAACTCCTTGCTATAGGTATGTATTGAATTTTTCACGGTATTTCTCCTTGCCTTTAGCCAAATAGAGATGGTTAGTAGTAACTCAACTGAGTATCAATAGATTTACCTAACCAGCTTAGAACTTGCAAATGAACAGTGACTGTCATAGTTAAGTATTCTCTCAAATCTGATTTTACCTACGTTAAGTTTCTTCTTGTGCTGATTTATTCTTAACCCCATAAGAATAAATCACAATATATACGTATTTAAGATAGTCAAATGATAAATCAGACTTCAGAGAAGCTTAGAGTACACTAAAGGTGGAACGATATTTTCAGTATGAAGTAATAAAATAATAATCATCAATATGAATGTACAAAATTAATTGCGAATTGACCCCTATTTATCTTTAGATATTAAGAAGCGATCAGTGGCCAAGTTACTATTGGTTGTTGCAACTGTTACGACTCAGTGTTGCAATGGTTTAGCAAAGAAAGTCCGCGACCGTGAGATGACCTCTACTTCACGGATTAGAGACGGCTTTAACAAAAACACTTGTTTCTTTTATATAGTTTCAGTTATTTAACCAAAATGAAAATATTTCGGTTATTATTAACAGCATTTTAGTGCACAAGGCTGATATTTAGACGAGTGGCAATTACAAGCTCACTTATTGGCACTGGTTAAGATTCAGAACCGATCATGGCGGTATGACGTCACACAAGGATACCGGTATCCGCTCGGGAGTGACCAGGCTTAAACTGATTAAACAAAAAGCTAAGTAATTGATCTTTACAGAAACTCAAATGTTTCAATTGTTTTTACGAAAAGTTTTATAGGTAGAGTAATATTCTATTCTAGACTGCCTCGTTGGCCGAGTGGTCGCAGGTGTGACTGCCGGGCAAGGGGTCTCGAGTTCGATTCTTTCCTTTCCGAAAGTATTACTGGGTTTTAAAAAAAAATCAGTTATAGCACGGAGTCTGGAATTGTGCCCGGTATATGGCAATAGGCTCACCCCTTATTACATGGGACTTATAACATAAAATAGTGAAAAGTGGGTGTTACATGGTACAGTTGCATTAAATGCCATAATTGCACTTATACCTTCCTCTTCGGGGATAAAAGACGTGATGTTATGTACGTTATATTCTATTCCTGATTGAGTAGCTTTGCCTGTTATTAGGAATGAACATCGATTACCTATTACCGCTAAACTGAAATGTATGCCTATTAAGCAAATGAGCTAACAGTTTTCTTACGGCGTCTTTACTACCTACTTATACTAGTAAGCATCATTGTAAAACTCAAACCTCGTTGCAAAGCGACTCTATGAACCAACCACAAGTAATCACAGTTATTGCAGTCCTTAAGAGTCACCGTAAATCATTATACTTAGGTATTCTTCTAAGCTTCAGTACCGTAAAAGGTTACTTTACCTGTACCTCATAAATGGTGTTGCAAAAATGTTTACTGCTAACTATATGAATCATAAAGGTATCATTAACAATGATTGCCTTCAGTGTGTGCTAATTAGGCTGCGGTTCGTTAAATTGCATAGAATTATATAGGTAATTCGGCCTAGTTATTTTGTGAAGTTGTTTCTATTATATCAATTGGATATGTGTACGTTTATCACTTGATGACTCGTGTAGGACCTATTTCTTGCTTGCGACTAAAACTAGATCCGAAATTTTGAACTGAACTTAAACTAAAAAAATAATTTGTTTAATATTATCACCATCCTGTGCAATAACCTTTATTTTTATTGCTATGTAATTGGGAAGTATTAGGAATAGACTTAATCTTAATTCGACATTTAAGGCTAAGTGTAGCAAAGTAAGCGTTTTGCGAGAGAAACCCTAGATTAGCGCAAAACCACAATCAGGTCTAATGCGGTAACCTAAGCGTTAATACAAATTGAAAGACATTATGCTCCGTTCTTGTAATATTTTCTACCACACAGGTAATAGGCGTAGTATCAGTGCTCATGTGGGTTACATTTTTGTGGCAAGGATTTTAAATTGGTTATAAACCAGAATAATCGAATCGAAATAGCTAAGGTGCAATGAATATCATTTTATCAAAATGGATTTAACATATCACCATTCAGAATAAAGGTTCCGGTAAAGATGGCACGGAGCCGCTGATGGTCGCTTCCAACTGGCTGGTCTGGAAGTTACTAGGGAAGGCCAACGTTCAGCAGTGGAAATCTTAAGTCTGACATGACGATGATTCAACTAACCTATTTAGAAAAATTCGAATTGTTTACAAACGAGGATTAAATCAAACCTCTACCTTATTATCACTCATGTATTGTGTATGGGATTTATCTGAAGAAAATTTCATGCCTTTGTTAGAAAAATAGATCGTATGTACGTCATATAAAGAACTGAAGTGCAAAATCTAAAAATATTTAATCCCATTGTTACACCCGTCAGAGTTATTTGTTCCGGCGACCGTTGACACCATTCTTATTTGCCTTCGTGTTTTATGTTAAAATAGTTCCTATTTGTATTTCCATTTTTCGCCTCAGGGCGAACCTTTTGCCATACCTCTTTCCTATAAATATCTTCTTTATACATATCCTTTATCTTATATTACATTATACTTTAATCTAAAGCTGAAGAGTTTGTTTATTTCTTTTTTGTTTGTTTGATTGATTGTTTGTTTGAACGCGTTAATCTCAAGAACTACTGATCCAATTTGAAACATTCTTCTTGTGTTAGATAGCCCATTTATCGAGGAAAGCTATAGGCTATAAAACGTCACGCTACGATCAATAGGCGCCGAGCAGAGCGGGTGAAACCGCGCGAATTTAGCTAGTTTAGTCAAAGAATTTATAACTATCTGGTTATCTTCTTTATTATACGCCTTTAGTTATCTATACCCAGTACTTGTAAATAGGTAGATATACTAATAGTGTAATAATAATTCCTCAATGTAATGTGGAATACATTAGTAATTAATTTATTTTGCGTTTATTAACGTAATTGCAATGCGAAATGCATCAGTGATCAGATGAAGCAATTTATCTATTGTGTCATACAATTTGTAATTAACTAATGAGTGTTAAAATAAACGATCTTTATTATTTTGTGGAATATCATTAGTAACAGGTTTTATTATAATTATGAATACAAATGTATGCGCAATGATTATAAAATTGGGCCAGATTGATTGTTGCGAACTAGCTAATTCGTATCTACTAGCTAATGCTAAATAAACTGTAATTTGGAGCAATTATGTTATCAATTGGATATAGTTTAAGTGTCTTGGAATTAGGTTTGAATATATTAAGGCGTGGTAAGTCTTCATTTACAAGTCTATCCAGTAACATTCTGATTTCACCTTTAATTGAAAAAAAGCTTTGATACTGGAAATACAAATCAATCTAACGTGAGTCCTAACGTCAACAAAAATCGGAAAAAGTATTCTTCCTTCAGTCGGGTAATAACACTTATTATAGTAATAATATTTATTTTAGTGTATGTATTATTTATTTGGTATGTATTATTTATTTATATGGTTTGATTATCTATTATTGTACACTGGACGACCCCCTTTTTTCCAACTCCTGATTACTGGCTCCATCTAAAGGTTGTCTGTAAGAAATCGCATTCTGTGATAAGACCGCCCATTGTACACATTTTTTATTTTTATTTTTCTCTGTATGTTTTTATTGTGTACAATAAAGTGTACCTACATATATAAAAAAAAGATAGTAAATAAAACATTTAGTTAGCAATATTAAAGTATTTTAAAAGCCAGTTAATTCGTAAGTAGGTTTAGTGTAAGCGAGGAGCAATAATGCCGTTTTTCCTAAGTTATCTACCGACCTTTAACCTAGTCGCAGAAACGACCCGACTTCATACAATACTATAAACCAACCTCAGTTTTTACAGCAGTATCTATGTTTAACCTATCCAATGTTCATTGTAACCAACTAATTTCCCAATTATCTTTGTTACAGATGGGTTGCAGATTGACAATCGTGGACGATGTCCTTAACAGATCCTTCTACAAACTCGGTCTGGTCGTCGGGAGGCAGCCTGGCTACTTCATCATCATACCAGTCCTCCTCACACTACTCATGATCACAGGCTACCAAAGAATCCATTATGAAATGGACCCAGAATACCTGTTCTCTCCCGTCAGTGGGCAAGGCAAATACGAGAGGAGAATAGTCGAGGAAAACTTCAAAGTCAATTATTCACATCGGTTTAATGTTGGAAGAATAACACGAGCAGGTTAGTTATAGCATAACTATTGTAACTATCATTATTTATATTATTCGCTGACCTTATCGTTTCACTGTTTTATAGTCCTTTTAGTGCTGTGTGATTCTTAGTAGTAGCACGGAGTCTTTTTCTTTATTTTTTTGAGGAGCAAAAGTCGTCCAATTTCTCCTCCTCCCGCCCGGGTTAGGCGGAAGGGTGTGTTAGACTCTTACTGACTAAAAACCTCCCGTTCCTACTCCTGCACTTCGAGCCGGAGCCCCGGCAACCCGTTAACTCTTTCGCGGTTCCGTATCGACATCGGCCCAACAGGGCTGATGTCGATACGTCTGTGGTGGTCTGATGGCTCATTGAGGCGCGCGCGGAACGCAACGAGTAGCACGGAGTCTGGAATTGTGCCCGATACATGGCAATAGGCTCACCCTCTATCACATGAGACTCATAACATAAGTAGTGAAAAGTGGGTGTTGCATAATTGCACATGGCATAAGCGCCTTCGGGGATAAAAGGCGTGATGTTATGTGTTATGTTAGTGATGTGTATTACAAATCTATCAATGGACTTACGCCTGAAAAGTTACATCGTTCTAGAAATATCGTGTTCCTTCTAAACGCGTTTTACCAGTAATTCTTCAAATGATCAATATTTGCCGAGTTCCTATGTATGTAGGTACCTAGCCAAAGAATAATACAAGCTTTTGTTCTGTAAACTAAAACTACGTGAGTTAATACAAGCAACCGGCCACATCAATCATTTTCGTTCGTTGAGACGGTTTGAAACCCATTTTGGAGTATTTTTGACTTACCAATTATTTGGCAAGCGAGACGTTGAACTCTTTAAAACAATAGCGATTTAACTCTTGACGATTTAAGTAGCAACTAGTGCATTACCAAGATCTAAGTAGTACTTAAGTGGCATCTGAGATCAACATTCATCAACGTTGATGACACTGAGACTATGACCATTTTTTTTATTTAAACACAACGTACATAACGTGTCGCTTATTAGATGCTATGTACTTACTTAATTAATCCATAGTGTGACAGGTGTAAGCCTATTAATTTAATAACTGAGTACAGTTGTTCACTCCTTGTCGTTATTGAGAATTATTACGTAGGTAATACGATAATATATGAGTACCTACCCAAAATCTTGCTCAATCTCAGAGTGCATCAAAACCCTTAGAAAATTTGGTATGTCCCCCATATGACTAAAGAAGTGGTTAATTTTTTAAAACTGTTAAGGCAAGTTCATTATGATTTTCTATTTTAATTTATTTTTTCTTTTTAGGACGGTTTGGCAGAGTAATTATCGTGGCGAAGGATAACAACACGAATATGTTACGAAGCGAAGTTTGGAGGGAGTTACGACAGTTAGACGAGCTCGTCCAAAACATGACGGTGACCATGCCGAACGGAGACACCTTCACTTACAAGGAAGAATGCGCGCGATGGGAAGGACAATGCTTCACCAACGACATTCTCAACTTGGACAAGATTATTGGCGAGGTAAGACAAATGTAAACAGTTTTATTACTTAAGTATTTAAAAAGTTGTTTGGTAGTTCAAATTATCATGCCCGGTTAAGCATGAATATTTTGTTCATTCCAAATAAACACTAAGGTAAAAAGATTATTATTTTAGTGAAAAGAACTGAATTTAAAATACTTTACATAAACAAAAACAAAGAATTTCCAGATTCAAACAAATGTAAATGAAGAGATAGCTTATACATATAAAATGTAGTACCTACCCCAGCTAAAAAGTTAAATCAATATGTGTCCAGAATGTCGCAGTTATAACACTCATTTAAAACAACCTTGGCAGTGACTCAGTCCCGAGCCCGCGTCCTAATAGGATTCTAGAAAATTCTAAAGACCATCATTTCATTTATACTGAACATTTATTTAGATTAGTTAACAACCTATTACTTGTGCACCGGTGCTACATCCTCTCATGATGTCCTCTGATGGCTGGGTGACCAATTTATCTCATAATAATTCCAATGAAACGTAGGTCCTAGTAGGTTGTACATAGAAATTTCATTCTTCATTGCAAAGACTGTTTTAGCAGACATTGCTTTTTGAAAGGAATGTCTGCTAAAATAGTCTTTGAAAATCATCGTCGACACTCGGGACGGGAATATCCCGCCTTGGGTGAAACGAAAGGGTGTGTCAGACTCTTACTGACTAAAAACGACCTTGTTCTAACTCATACTTCGAGCCGGAGCCACGTTACCTCCTTGCATTTCTCCGCAGCTCCTGTTGAGCATTGCTAGAGAAGGGATGCCTACACTAAGATCTTCTGCTGCGACATGGAACATGGGTACATCTTTATACCTCTATATATATTTCTTCTGTGAGTGTGTGTCACTGAACTTTTCTCAAACGACTCGACCGATTTTGATGAATTTTTTTGTGTGTCACAAATTAGCCCGGCAGATGGCGCTGCAGTCGGTGTTTACGTTATTTATCCTAAACGGCTGAACTAATTTGAATGAATTTTTGTTTATACATTCAAGTGGATATGCAGGACAACGTCTGTCGGGTCCGCTAGTTAACTTATAAAAACATAGCACATACAATTTGCATCTTTCTGCTACAATCAATACAATATAATATCCCAAGCTAAGAGAATTGTTTCACACTGTTTGTGTCATCATGGTAAATGAAAGGAAATACCTTGTTGTGAATTAAAACATTATCTTCTATGTGTTGTGAGACTTCTTGTCTGCTGATTTGTAATATCAATAAGTACATATTACCTAATAAAATCTTGTCAACATCCACTATTATTTTTTACACGGTAATATAAAACAAATAACATCGATACCTCATGGTAAAGTAAAGCTGAATATCAATCATTTATAGCGATTACAATCATTCATTTTTTACGTCATTTTTAGCGGTAACTAATGGGTCTTAGTGATCGTTTTCATAACTAACACTAAGTTAGAGATCGTTATGATAACGACTGTCAAAGTTGTAATTTGGCTAGCATTTTTATACATTTTGTATAGGATTAGCGATTTACGTCGTGGAAACGATTTCCATCGGTATGATGGAATAAATAGTTTTGTTACATGGCTACCAATTTTCTTTTGACCAAGCGACTTAGTGTGGACCTTATGTCATTCCCATACATTATCATACTTTTCTACTAACGATATCGTTTGTAGAATTGTAATATGGCTAGCACCGCTGATTCGCTGGGTATGCGTCTACGAAATGTTTTATTTCATAAACATTTTTTTGAAAATATAACAACACTTTTACTCTCTCTTCAAAATTATTTGATTACGTACCTATATGCCACGTATAGATAGTAAGCCAATATATAGGATAGGTATTCTTTACACAATGAAAAGTGGTCATTTGTACCACTTATACTGTTATGCTTTAGGTTAAACAAGACATGCAATTGTGTTAAGTAAAAACTAAAAACGTCGCAAATGTCCCATATACATACATTCATACGTACCTCTAAATACCAACAATATGCTTTCGATTTCTTTGTACTTTCTCTTCAAAAACGTTTCTTGAAAAACAGGTGCGCATAATTGCGCTACACTTATTGGTACCTTCACGTTTCAAGTAATACAAGTTGATGTTTAACTTGAAATAATTGGTCATAGAGACCCAGTCATACTGGAGGACCCCTTTAACTACCTTTGCTATATCCAGAGTCCACATTCGGTCATCTTATACTATTAGGTATATGTATAATGTATATAGCGGAAGAATTTGTTTTTTTTGTTTGTTTGTTTGTGTGTTTGTTTGATCGCGCTAATCTCCCTAATTACAAGTCTGATTTGAATAATTATTTTTGTGTTGGATAGCGCATTTATCGAGGATGACTATAGGCTATAAGACATCACGCTACGGCCAATAGGAGTTGAGCAGAGCGTGTGAAACCGCGCGGTAGTAGCTAGTCCTGTATAAAGCAGTATTGTTCGACTACTGCTAATTCGCGGTTTTTACAACTTTAGATAGTTGTAAGAATAGTAACATGGTCCTTTGCCAATAATTGTGCAATAGAAGTAAATTACATAGGTACAAACGCGACAAACCGGAAAACAGCAAGACAGTGAACTCTGTAAGTAGATGTCCACTAAACATGACTGTATCGTCTTGGATCTCTAAACAAAATAAAAAAAGAACAATGGGAAATAATTTACAGCTACTTAGTGTGTATAAAATTGATATACAGCTACTAACTTTGATTTTAGCTCATAGGAGTTACTGGCGTAACTCCGCGCAATAATGGCTTATTGCACTTTTCGTTTTGTAGAAGCAGCAGTTAGGTATGTCGACCATGTTCCTCACTGAACATAGAAATGGGACCAGGAATAACTAAAGATTGGGTAATCACTTCACACACTAAAACTCAATCAAGGTGTTTATTCACAGCATCACCTTTCGCATAAACCAATTTTATACCAATTTCAACTTCACACGTTGACGGCAATGCGTTTCAATAAAACAACACTTTGTATGACGCAGCTGCATGACGGGCAAGACTTATCGATTTTCTTCCGATAAAAAATAAAATATTTCAAAATTGCACACAAAATTGCAAAAAGAAAATAAATAGATTTACGGCTCCCACGCTATCGAAATAGGGTTCACATAAACGCGACGATTTTATTGAATTCCGAATCAACTAAATTGATTTCGTGTATCGAATACCAACGATTCGGAGTTAGACGAAAATGAAAAACAAGACAGATTCGATCTAGCTTCTATCTTCAGCCAAATAAAAATCCTGGGGTTTTTGCCCAATCAATACAATACAATGCCGTCAATGGCGAACCATGTCAATGACATTGACGCTATCAGGAAATTCGCGTCAATATCATGGGTTTTTGACACCTGCTTTACATTCAATTCATACTTGCCTTGGCAAGTTCAGGTTTACTGAATCACTGCGTACAAAGAAAAATCAAATAACAATAGTGCAGATATCTAACAGTTCCACTCATAGGTATTATGTACTTTTGACCGCAGACCACAAACTTAGCTGGCTATGTTCACATTGTTTAACATCGACAAGGAACGTCGACCCTTGAGTAGGTAAAAAGGTACAAAAATATATAATTTTTATAAATGCAAACTCTACTGCATTAACTGTTGAGATTTTGAAAATTAACGGATCTCTGACATGGGGAAAAAAATTAAAATTTTGAGGAATTGTACCCGGTATATGGCAATAGGCTCGCCCCATATTACATGGGACTCATAACATAAATAGCGAAAAGTGGGTGATGGCATTGAGTGCCGTAATGTGCACCTCTGTCCTACCCCTTCGAGGATAAAAGGCGTGAAGTTATATTATGTCAATTATTACTAACGCGTTGTAAAATAAAAAAGAACCTTGCGGCATAGAATAAGTAGGAATATCACGATCACTGGATAAGCGTAATTACAGTCTTAGTTTTATGAAGTAAATAGCCATACTTATTATAACACTGAGCATCTTACATCATACCATCGTAATGTGCCTTTCCTAGACATAAAACAAACAATGACAAATTGCAACGAACGCAATTTGGTTACGGTATAATTTTCAGTTACTGCAATATTAGGCAAATACACGCTTTAAGATTACACACATGGTTTTGAAGCAACATTCCTATTGTTATTATAACAACAATATAAAAATACCACAACTTATAACATCAACCTCTACAATTAGTCGGTTACAAAGCAAAATAATACTAACAATGTGTCATCCATCATTTATATTCAAAGCATCCTTCTCTAGAGATCTTGTGCCCACAAGGATTGCTCATGTTTCATGTCGTAGTTAATGGAAATTCTTTGTACGTGTGATTAGGCGAATGTCATGCCTTCACAAAACATGACTGTCCTTTGAAGTACATAATAGAACCTTTGCATTGAGAGATTGGTAGGTACTTTTAACCTCTATCGCCTTCGCAGAGAATCGTTTAGCTTAGCGCTTTTCCGGCGAACTGCTAAGGCCAACAAGGTAGAGGAACTAAGTACACGTAGTTATAATCGCAAGCGCACGAAATATACATTTATCTGTTAGGTACCTGTAGGTACAAGTATTGATGACCTTTTTTGTCTATCCCTATTTGTTTGCAAACTGACAACAGACTTCCGTGGACATTAAACGGTCCATACGTAACGATATTGAATGAATAGATGATTATGGCTTCTATTATATTGACGCAACGATTTGCGATTGCGTATTTGAGAATATCAAATAGTCACACCGTAGGGCCCTTTGAGCCCTTTCTCAATCGTTTGATTCATGATTTGTTTCTTGTCTTACAGGTAGAACGAGGCGAACTAAACTTGACGTTTCCCATAATGTTTAATCCTGTAACATGGGAGGCCCATGCATTCCCAGTGTTCTTCGGAGGCTCCAAAGTGGTGGATGACATCATAGAATCAGTGCCGGCAGTACAGCTAGTTTGGTTTGTGAGGACAGACACTAAAGCACAATTGGAAGGAAGGTAAGGAATATTTTTTATTAAAGTCTAGTGTTACGGCTTCCAAACAACCTCAATTATAATTTTACAGTCGGACTGAAGAATCGTGCGTAGATCAGTATTATCTTACATGAAATAGAGGATATCCTTTATAAAATAACGTACCTAACTGTGAAATAATTAGAATAGCCACGCATGCAATTTAAGGAAGAGATGATTGTTGTAGCAGTCATTATTTTTTGGAAGGAAACAATAAACGTTTCTATCGTTTCTTAATATTTAGTACCTATTTATTATGTTCACTCTGCTTCATTTAGCTTTACTATGACTTGTTTTGAATTTCAATAGCATTACAATTTGCGTAAACAAACAACGTTATAACTTAGATAATAGGCTTCGATCTTGACACGCTTTTAAAAAACCACTGCGTAATATTGAACTAGAATGAGAATGGAAAGGTAGAGAGTTGAACAAATTGTGAGTCAATATTTCGTAAAGCGTATGTTTCCTCTCTAAAGGTTTATAAAAATCTGATGAAATATATTTTTCTACTTTTACAGAGGTGCAGCTTGGGAAGATGCTTTTCTGGACACAGTCGGTATAGCGGAAGACACCGGTCGCTTCAAACATATATCTGTCGCTCGTTTTGCCTCACGAACCCTCGACCACGAACTAGAAAAGAACACGAGAACCGTCATTCCATTCTTCAGCTCCACTTTCATTCTCATGGGAATATTCTCCATAGTCACATGTATGATGGGCGACTGGGTTCGCTCAAAACCATGGTTAGGTTTGCTGGGCAACATATCTGCTGTGATGGCAACTGCGGCAGCATTTGGATGCGCCATATATTTAGGCATTTCCTTCATTGGCATTAACTTAGCTGCACCCTTCTTAATGATTGGTAAGTGAACATGACCTTGTAATTTTTATTCTGGATTTCCCCTTTGAAAAGTTGCTTTGACAAACGGTATTCTATTTCGGAACTCCTTACTCAGACACCACAACTGGTTTTATTACTTTAACAAGACATGTGATTTCTTTGTCACGTTTTCCACCTTTTATGCATAACTAACAATGAATAACTTCTGACGCCATTTTAACCACATTTTCTCATGTCTTTAATATTTCGTATTTCCATGTTCCAGGTATCGGGATTGACGATACATTCGTGATGTTGGCGGCGTGGAGACGAGCATCTCCGAAGCTTCCAGTACCGGAGAGGATGGCTATCATGTTGTCAGAGGCAGCTGTATCCATCACAATAACCTCCGTTACGGATATGCTCTCCTTTTTTATTGGTATCTTCTCTCCATTCCCGTCGGTGCAAATATTCTGCATGTATTCAGGTTTGTAACAAATGAATGAATTAAGTGAATTTCTTTCTCCAAATACACTACAAGGCAGCACTTTTAAAGATACATTAAAAAAAGAGCTAGATGAGGCCGACGTTTCCTAACTACTCTGAGAAGGAATGCCGAAACAAACTCAGAGGGAAATACGTGGACAATGAAGTTGCAAAGCTATTTACACTAAAGTTTTCTTATGTTTCACTGTAACTAATTCACCAATGTTTAATTACAGGTCTCGCCGTTTGCTTCACATTTGTGTGGCATCTGACATTCTTCGCTGGATGCGTAGCAATATCAGGATATCGCGAAAAACAAAACAGACATACGATAACTTGGATGAAAGTGCTGCCCGAATCAAGAGCCAGGAAAGGTACGATAACAACTCATTTTGTGACTTGACCACTTTCTATTAACCTAACTTTGTCCGGCCTTCTTAACAATATCCTTTTCGTTACAGAAGAAAAATCATGGTTATACAGAATGTTCTGTAGTGGAGGTATTGACGCAGCTGACCCTGACAATCCAATAGACAACAAGGAACACTGCATCATGGCTTTCTTCCGCACAACAATGGCAGATTTATTGAACAACGGCTACGTGAAAACCCTAGTTATCGTGGTCTTCATTGCATACCTAGCAGGAGCAGGATACGGAGTGACCAATCTCAAAGAAGGGCTAGAAAGAAGGAAACTGTCCAAAGTGGATTCATACTCTGTTGAGTTCTTTGATCGTGAAGATCTGTATTACAGAGAATTCCCTTATAGAATTCAGGTAAGAACTTGAAAATTATTTAACCTTTAAAGATCACCAGGAAAGTCTCATTGAATTTCAAATGATATTGAATGAAACTGCTTCCAATATGTCTGCGTCAACTACAATTTATATAATGACGTCATCGGAATACAATAACTAATTTGCTCGCTCCATTCCAGGTGGTTATTAGTGGCGAATACAATTATTCTGATCCAATGATCCAAGATCAAGTGGAAGCCTTAACAAAGAGCTTGGAGAATACATCGTACATCTCAAATTCACTGTACACGGAGTCTTGGCTTCGAACATTCGTCGATTATGTATCTAGAAACAACGATTACTTGAACGTGACTATCGATACTGAGGATGAATTCATTCAGAACCTTAAAGAAGTGAGTACAAAATAGAGTTAATTAGACTTATGATCGACTTTAACTACTTTTTCAATATTTAGCCTTATTCACATTGCCATTATTTTCTTTCCAGTTATGGCTGTTCCCAGCAAACCCATTCTCTCTGGACGTAAGATTCAACGAGGCAGGAAACCGTATTGTTGCCTCAAGGTTCCTAGTTCAAGCAGTTAACATCAGTGGAACAAACCACGAAAAGGAGATGGTCAAAGCACTGAGAGATGTTGTTGCTCAATCTCCTTTGAACGCCTCCGTATTCCATCCATATTTCGTATTTTTTGATCAGGTACGTTTGAATACATTGTCGTTTGTATCTATTATATTAAAAATACTTTGTGTAAAACGCTCGACTAACATACATATTTGTTTCTTTTCAGTTTGAACTCGTAAAACCGACATCTCTTCAGAACCTTTGCTACGGAGCCCTCATGATGATGATTACGTCCTTTGTATTCATCCCTAATATCCTCTGCTCTTTGTGGGTCGCATTCAGTATCATATCCATTGAAATCGGTGTAGTAGGCTACATGGCACTTTGGGATATCAATCTAGACTCAATATCAATGATCAACTTGATTATGTGCATTGGTTTCTCTGTTGATTTCACTGCTCATATCTGCTACGCCTACATGGCATCTAAAGCAAAGTCCCCTGACGACAAAGTTAGCGAATGTCTCTATTCTCTCGGATTACCCATTGTTCAAGGCTCCTTCAGTACAATACTCGGTGTAATAGCATTGCTCTTAGCTGACAGTTACATTTTCTCCGTATTCTTCAAAATGGTATTCATGGTAATATTCTTTGGAGCTATGCATGGCCTCTTCCTACTTCCAGTCCTCTTATCACTGTTCGGTCCTGGTTCTTGTACCCGAAAGAAAGATGACATCAAAATGGCAAAGCTAGAAAAATGTTACCCGAATCCCTACTGTATACCACACCCACAGCTTGTCTTGAATGACCAAATATACAACGGAAAGAATTTAAATCCTAATGGCATTTATAAGATTTATGGCGATGACAAGGATCTAGGAATAGGCACATCAGGGGAAGACACCAGCGAAAGTAGTTCCAACCAGTCACAACGGCGGCAAATAGGTGACGATGAGAACAGCCGTAAGAAATACGACGACGGCTGGAAACGATCTAGTTATTGCCAGAACTCTTCAAGCCAGTTCCAGCCTTCCGGCGAACTAGATCTATATGGCCACGATATGGATCGTAATTGGCAACGACAGCGCTATGAAGACAATCGTCGAGTTTTCGAAAATTATCGGAAACCTCCGACAGTGTCCCGGACGCGCGATGATGACTGGGTCTCATCAACGCGAAAATCTAGCGACGCCGGGCAGCGTCGCGAGGGTACCTACAGAGTGACACGAGCTCACTCTCACCACAATATCCACAGATCGCGCGCTCCTCGCCGCTCCAACTCTCACCATAACTTAGAACATTTAGACTACGTCGCAGAAATGCGTTTTCCCTGACAGTGACCGCTTACCTCTCTAAATAATGTTTAAATTAACTCGTGCTCAATTTATGGACCAAAGTATTATGCTACTTTCGTAAAAACGAAATTTGTAGTCTAATTTCCTAGAAGTGAAGAACAATATTGTATGAACACTTTATCTTGAAGGTGTGAAGTGTTGTTCGGGAGTGATACAAACTTTATATCATTGTGTAATTTAAGAATATATAGGTACTCAAATGGAGCTTTGACTAAGAGCCTTATGCCAAAATCAAACTATTATGTATAACCACGGTCTACCTACACACTCCACACCGGTGTTCGATATAGGTAAATAGATCCATTATCTTACAATCATAAGTACGGAGCAAGCTGTAGGTAGACAGTGTTACAAGTATATCTATTATCTATGTAAGGTTTATATTCAAGCGTATAAAAGCTCAGTAGTACACCAAAGTACGATCGGTTCAATAACGACATTATCTGTAAGTAAGTTATTGATTCGGGAGACAAAATGTATGTAATTATATTATAATCTTAGTGAATTTATGTAACTGGTAGTTTTATAAGTATTTCGAGATTTTGGTACAAGGCTGAATAAGGAGAGGTTATTGATTATCGCTAAATGCCTAGTATAATATTATGAAAGGCCGCCGAAAAAATATATGTAAGTAACGCAAATAAATACTTTTTGTTGTGTATGTTATCGTTGAATTGTAAAATAATAGAAAAAAAAACAAAAATTTATTGCAATTCAATTCAAGCAAGACTACTCATTGTTTTAATGCAAAAAAGGAAATTAATCATTGGATAATTTCAGCGTTCTATGCATTATGTACAAAGCAATAAGCAAAATGAGGGTGTGGCCTATAATGACCGACAAATCAAACTACATAATGCAAATATGAAAAGGAGCAAGTGAAACATATATAACTTGTTTATAAAATAATTTATTACAACGTAACTAGTTCCTACAACTTAAGCAAATAACTACTCTAGCAATTCAGTCAGCACTTGCTTGCAACAATCAAACATAATTTGGCAACAATAAGGTCTATTATTATAAAAACGTCTTTTTAGTGTGATATAAATATGGGATGGGTGATATATAAGAAGGTGTGTAAATAAGTGTGTAAGGCGAAGGCGCAATAATAACTTTATGGAAACAGTTGCATTTTATTAACTATCTTTTAAAATATATCAAAGATTTAATAATCGGTGGTTATAATCAGTTCGCATTACTTTTGTAGTTAGCACAGCTAAATAGGCAGGTTGATTCAGTACAGAGACAGTAACCATTGGTTGCCTATTGAATCGACTAATGGCTACAGATGTGGCTTGGTGAAAAACCTTATAATTAAGTACAATAATAGATACTGTATCCGTACCGAATCAATCTTTATTTTCTATCTGCATAGTAAGTAGCTGTGTTGACTATTTTTCTACGCGATTTTTTTTTTATTATTGCCTACTATTATAAAATATACCTACACAACTATCGAACAGTTTCCTAAAACAAAGTTAATATTGTGCCAATATATGAAACATTTTAAGTCTTCGTTTACAAATAAAGCTTTAACCATTACCTACCTATGGGTTGCTGTAAATATTTGTTGTGATAATGTCTCGATGCCATGTTCCATCTCTCTTACCTATTATATTTACTGCTATTCTACAACTAATATTTTACTCTATGTCTTACAAATACATAATTAAAATATGTTGTCTGTCATGGCATGTTCTGTCATTGCATTTGTGGTGATAAAAACAAGTGACTCTAGTGTTTGTTCCATGTGTTATGTAAGATTAATGTTTGTGACCGCTAGCGGTCCTCATCATGACTGAATAATGTAAATATTACCTGTTTTACATTAAATAAAAAATAGTTTTATTATCTTTGTTTTTTATTGAATTATCTCCGAATTCAAATATATCTATCACAATTAGGTACAAGAATTAACTAAAACTAATATTACGATAATTAAACATCGCATTCAACAAACAATATGCGACTTTTTAAACACATACATTACATCAATACATACACATACACACATCACAATACAACTTGTTACTGGCGTATAGGATAAAATATATATTTCAATGAGCTTTAATGTTACTAAGAACGCTAAACAATCGCAGGTCTTTAAAAAATGCATGAAGCGATTATAGTGACGTCGTAAGTATGGCGACGAGATACGATCCACATTTGGTAAATAGTGCTAATTGTATATTACAATACAAACAGTCGTGCAAGCCGGTGAGGCCGCCATCAACACAAAGCCGTACATGGCCAAACATAAACTCTACAATAAAAGCATCAAAACTTAGGCGAAGCAGGTTTATCATACACAGATTTCAGTACCTCACTACAGAAAAGTATCAAATCTTTGGAGTCAAACCTCTCACATAAATTCTCGAATAAACGATAATTCTTTACTAGTGCGGTTTTCGTCCGAGGTTTTATTCCATTGATTCTCCAATACTCTGTTCAAAAGTGTCTTGGCATCAGTTGGACTGATCTTTTTGACTAACACGTCAGTTATAGCACTAACTGATAACTTCTCAGTTATCTGCTGCTTAGAAGATTCTTCTAACTGTGTGCTAACTTGTTGTACGAAGTCTGGCCTCTGAAAAGATAAAGGGGAATTTTTTAATACCTAAACATCACCAACCAGGGTGCTTACTCTTGAAACCAATCTCAACATCAATGCAATTTTAATCCAATAAAATCTTTAATAATTATTTAATGTCAACACTATACAACCATATAGTAGCTGTTAAAATTGCATTCAGAGTACGGAATATAAAACTAAACTCAATACCAATTAGTTAATTCAATATCCACGCAATACGAATGCAATGGGCGCTAGTGTTGCAACTCAAGAGTATGAAATTTCACAATACCAATGTCGACGATCGGAATCGGACTCAAGAGTTAGTAAGCCCCTGAACTAAACATAATAATATGTTCTATATAAATACTTTATTGTACACCACATGAACACAGGACAACAAAAAATAATTAAAGTTTATCTTTATTTGTTATTTCACAAGGCGATCTCTTACAGAAAATGTGTTTGTGTATGGGTGTGTGACCATGTTAAATAGAGATACAACTCTATAGTCAGGAAGTATTCAAGAAATGTCAACATAATACTAACCTCTTCTAAACAGGATTTAACAAGTTCTGCAGTAGATGTACTGCCTGATTGGTCTGTCTGGACAACTGCGTGTGTAATCGGAGTAGTCTCTGTCTGTACATATGTAACAGAAACAGGTGTCTCAACCGTCTGCATCTCCATATCAACAGACACGTTAGCGACCGTCTGTACTTCCATGTCAGCGCTCCCCACGCCCTTTACTTCAGGTTCTGACATAGGTTCTCAAAAGCAGCCTCGTCTATTGCCACCACTGACACTTCACATTGAGCTTTCTCTACCCTCTTAGAAGCATAGTCGGACAACACCTTCTTCGCCACTTTAATCTTCGGTGCCTTAATACGCAATCTGTTAACTTCAAGTTCTGTCATCTTCGCCAAGTCACCCACTGTTTCCACCTTGCCTAATAATTCTCTAACAAGCAATGACTTCATAACTGGTGACGACAGTTCGCCCGCAATGTTATCTATAGGATCCTTACAATCTACCAAATCGGGGTAAATTGGATCAGTATCATTCAATTCACTAGCTCTAACAATTTCAACAACTGGTGTCTCGTCCAGAGAGGACAGTTGAGTGTCATCTGGAGTGTTTGCTCCAGTGTCTGTGAAACTCTCGATGGCTTTGTTTAATACTGTATCTAGTTTAAATGCACTGTCTAGTCTTTTGGGTGATTTTAAGGGCGTGTGTTGTCGTAGCTGTCTTTCAAGACGTTTATGCATCGAATTCGATGGCGACCGTACACCACCGGGTTCAATGTATTTCTGTACTGATACTGTAGTTGATACTGGTGGGTCATGGAAACTAACTCTCTTTCTCTGCAAACAAAATTAAAAAGTTATGAGTATTTCAGAAAAGCCTTTAAAAAAACATTTAAAAGATTAGTATACTTACTTTGCTGGCCGGTGAAACTGTAGCCTCATCGGTAATCTCTACAAGTTTCCGTTTTAATATTGGTCCTGATGGACTGCTGTCTACCGCAGGCAGCGATCGTCTAAACTTAAGAAATTGCTCACTGTCCTCATTTTCACTGGGAGGTTCAATATTTTCACTAACTGAATTATATAACATTCGTAAATTTCTTCTAGCAGGTGTACTTGATGTACTAGGCTTTTTAATCTCTTCAGAGTCAGTCTTTTCTTGGTTTATAATAGCTTGAACTTTATCAGGTACGCAGCATAATCCTAACATTTGCGCCGCCCGTCCTCCAGACCGCACTTGTGGTCTATTCTTCTTCAGTGACAGAGAAGAGCTGGGGCTAGTGCTAGTCACAGTTACTTCTACTCTAGGCGGCGACTGATCCCTTTTATCAGGGGAAATCTTGTCCTCAGTAAAAACTTCTGGAGAACTACATTTTTCAAAGGGTTCTCCATTACTTTGCACGGGCGAGGACAGCGTTATTACCACATAATCTGTGCTAGTTTCGGGCGACGGTGATTTCTTATTTCTATCGGGACTCATATTTTTAATTGGCGATATCTCTAGTGTATTATTCAAGAAATCTTGTTTTCGCTTAGCTTCATCGCCAAATGACGAGGGCGAAGAAGCTCCTCCCTCTGCTTCTAAATCAATAACCGCCGACTCCGGTAACGTTAATGTTGTGTTGTCTAAGGGTGAATTTGGCTTATCCTGAATTGAATGTTCTTTTGTCAAAAAGTCGTCTTTGATGCCAGAACTACAAATGTCACTATCTGCAACAGTCACGCTTATATCCTTAGTCTTATTCACAATATCAACTTCCATGAAGTCAGTAGGATTAGTCGGTTGGGTGTCAGCTTCAGCAATTTCTTGTGTTGCTTGTCCTACGTGTGATTCATCACTGCTGATTGTTAGAGGTGGCGGAACTTCTTCAGCTATT